CATGAGATGTGGCTACCTATTTTCAGGAAAGGAAATACCAGAATTTCTGCTTGTAGCCTATCTCATAAAGTCCTATCTATGAGTCTTTTCTGGGAAATTCTGGGAATTTCCTTTTTCACTGGGAAAAATTAATGTAAGTAGTTACTTTCTGTCATGTAAGATCATGATTATCGATGTCCCTAAGAGACTACAGGATGCTGGGCTTCATAGAGAAGAACATTTGAAATAAAATATTAGCCTCTAGGGCAGAGTGTTTTGTTTTAACCTTTGTGTCCTCAGCACTTAGATCAGAGTGGTATATAGTAGGAGCTTAATAGATGCTTGTTGACTGTCATTTTGTGAAGTTCTACTGATATGATGTATGTAAAGCATATTATAAATGCTGGAATTTATTAAGCCCTTACCATGTGCCAGGTTCTGTGCTAAGCACTGGGGACATGAAGAAAAGCAAAAACAACAACAGCAGCAAAAAGTCTCTGTTCTAATGGAGCTCACAGCGGAGAGAGGACCTGGAGGGGACAACCTCCCCCCCTCCCCCCTCTCCCCACCGTTTTCCCACAATAAATTACACAAGAACCCTTTGAGGAAAGTAATGAAGGTATTATCATCTTCATTTTACTGTTTAGGAAGCAGGGCTATGGAGAAATGAAACAACTTGCTGTACAGATAGTAAGTGACCAAGCAGAGAGATTCAAATTTTGATCTTCTGACTTCAAATTCAGTGACCTTTTTACCACCATGAGCTAGCCTTATAGCATGCCCACACCTCCAGTTGTCCTGATCTATATGTGGCCACTGGACCCAGATGGTTCGGGAGGAGAAAGTGAGGCTGGTGACTTTTCACAGCCCTCCCTCACTTAAATCCAATTCACTTGCAAGTCATGACATCACCTCCCTGATGTCAGGGTCCTTTTTGAGAATGAAGGACAAACAACCTTCGAGTTGTAAGAGCTGCTCCACTGGAGACCCAACTGGCCAGTTCCAGTTGGGCAATGCAGCTCTTTCCTTCCTTCCTTCCTTCCTTCCTTCCTTCCTTCCTTCCTTCCTTCCTTCCTTCCTTCCTTCCTTCCTTCCTTCCTTCCTTCCTTCCTTCCTTCCTTCCTTCCCTCCTTCCTTCCTTCTTTTCCTCCTCTCCCTCTGTCCACATAGGGTATCACACCCTTATCTGCCAGTGTTCCTCCCAAAGGAATGTAAATTTTGATTGCTGAAACCTCATAAGATATCTTGGGGTTTACAGCCTAGATTTCTTTTTCAAAGACTATGCTTTAAACCCAAATCATTCTGGTTCTCACTCTCACTGAATGCTTAACAATAGGTCCTAGCTGAAGCCTCTTTTAGTCATTGTTTGGACTCTGATGGCTCAGAGTGAGTGCAAATAGTAATTGCTTCTGTTTTGGCCAGAAACTCCAAGGGTCTTTTCCCTCCCGGACTAATTTTTTTGACTAGGTAAAAGAGGTCATTGGCTCATTTCTTCTTACCTAGCCTTAATCACTAAATGGGTGTTGCCTCAGACAAACTGAGACCTGGGAAAGAAAAGGCCAAGTTCTCCCACTGCATCCAGGGCCATCTCCAATCATCCTGATCTATATCTTGCCACTGGGCCCAATGGCTTCAGAGGAGAGAGTGAGGCTGGTGACTTTGCACAGCTTCCCTCACTTAAATCCAATTCCCTTGCAACTCATGGCATCACCTCCCTGATTTCATGGTCCTCTTTGAGAATGAAGGACAAACAACAGCCACATCTGGAATGCTGTAGGCAATGTCAACTACTGTTCTTCCATTATGAAGTTGGAGAAGGTAAATAAATGAAAAACTAAAATAACTGAAGGTGTGTGTGTAAGGGTTGATGTGTGTGGACACCCTAAACTAGAACTTTAGAATGTGAAAAGATAAAATCTGTGAGAGGATATAACTTGTCTATAAAATCCTGAGGGACATGAATTTGTTCACCAAATCCTAGAAGACTAGAAATACAGTAGTCTCATTTTATACAGCAGGTGGCGAGTTTATGGAATTTGTTAATTTCTAGGATCAGAGGATTTAGATTTAGAAGGGGTCTTTGAGATTATATAATCCAATCCCTTTGTGCAATGGATAGAGCACTGGGTTTGGAATCAGGAAGACCCATCTTTAGGAGTTCAAATCTGGCCTCAGACACTTACTAGCTGTGTGACCCTAGGCAAGTCACTTAACCCTGTTTGCCTCGGTTCCTCATCTGTCAAATGAGTTGGAGAAGGAAATAGCAAACTACTCCAGCATTTTTGCCAAGAAAACCTCAAATGGAGGCACAGGGAGTCAGCTATGACTAAAACCACAAAAATAACAATCCAATTCCTCAAATGAATTGAAGTCCATTGAAATTAACAGCAACATTTATTAAGCACCCACTTAGGGCACAGCCCTATGCCAGGCAACTGGAAAGACAGGAAATTTAGTTAAGATAGTCCCTGTCCTTATGGCATTTACCATCTAGTAGACTTCGACAGGTGGCAGAGGCAGAAAATAAATAGACTGAAGTAAGGTTTAGATAAATTAATGAATTATTGTTCAGCTGTTCAATAATAGAGCTTATTAAAAGATGCTAATCATTTGAGTATGATACTATTAGAGGGCATTCATGATTCTTTACAAATTGACAACATATCATTCACTGTTTGAGATATAACACTGGACTGGAAAGAACAGAAATATGACCTTGTGTGGCACTTCTCAATCTACAATAATACAAGTTTATCTGAAAGCATATGCAAATTGAGATAGCTATATTCCCCACCTGACTTAGATGGCCTAAAATTCATTAATAAAAAATATTGGAAAATCTGAACCCAATTAATTCAAAGCCTGCTTTCTTTAAATCCTTGCATTTTGAGTTAATGAGTTCTTTCTATATCTCCAAATGATTACAAATGCTTCTCACTTATAGTGATTGCTCCTTTGGCCCTGAAACATCCACAAAGCCCATGGAACTGGTCAGCAAAATAGACCAGAGCGAGCAGCTTTTTATTGTATTATTAGGATCACATTACAAAGTCAACAAATCATTATGAAATCTCTTTGTGACTAGAGTTCACATAATTCGAAAGAGAAGGCATGGAATACTTTTAGACACTTTAGATAGATACTATTTGGTTATAAATTGTTGAACACAAGGTAAAAAAGCCCTAATATATAGTTATGTATGAGAATGGCACGTTGCGTTTTGAAAAGCTAAATCTGTTTTATAAATATTCTCATTTTTTTCCCGTTCCCTTTGTCCTACGAGATCGATATGTTTAATCAGTCATCCTTATATTTGCTCGCTAAAATGCATTTGTTTCTGGTTTGGGAAATATGTTTTTCTTTCCCATGTTTAGTGCAGTGCTTTGAACAGAATGGTCGTACAATAAAGCAATAACTAACCAGTCAAGTAAGAATTTTAGCTCATTTGAGTGAGATAGAAAATGGCGAAAGTTAGCATCACTGATAGTTCAGTGTCTCCCAAAACTTTCTGTACACAAAGTGTCTTATCTTTTGGAAGTGAATACTAGAATTTTATCAGTTATATTGCTGGATGAGTGCTTTCCGTGCTTGCAATCATATCTTCAAAGGGATTTGGTGTCATCTTAAAAATAAGTCTAGCTGAAGTCCATCAAAGGCCATAATGACTTTGTGTTTTATACCGAACTTTTTACCTCTATATGTTTTGTGAAGGAGGTAATTTATTAAATAAGAAAAATGTTAGGGTTTAGAAAATAGTATTTTTAAAAAGATAATAGAGAGAAAAATAGATACAACAAACGTGTTCAGACCGCCAACTTCCTTTTCTTTTCAAGCAACAAAACCCTCCACAATTTGTTTGTTAACTGCCAAATTTCTAAAAAGCCTTTCTGAGAGATTTCCATGGCAGCTAACCTCGCAGCATCCGGAGTGTATATAGTTTGTCAAAATGAAGGGTTTTTGAGTGAAATAAAAAAAATATGATGTTTATAAAACTGAGGTGGGATAAGTTTGGTGGTCTCAGTCTACCACCCGTGGAGAATGCTTTTCACCCATGCACAACAAATAATTCAGCCTAAGTGACAGATTTTGCTCTGGAGAAGCACTGGACTGAGCTGGTTTACAGAGTCAATTACTGCTCACTCTAAGAAAAGAGTGGGACTGGAGAACTGAACGCAGGGGTGGGGGTGGAACACATCACAGGCTTCTATAGAGGGTGTGAGGGTGAGCCAGACAAGGTTTAGGTGGCTGCCAGGAGAACATGGGGGGAAAATCTCTTGTGCCAGTGTATGACATAGTACCTCACTTGTGGAACCTGCTAGGTCTTTAACTTCCAGACACCAACAAAAATTCCCTCCTGCTGCGTCAAAATGGGGTGGGGGAGGGGAAGAAGGCCTATTTCAGGAAGCTACTTTACATCCCCCAGTTTAACTGTCTTTTATAGTCTTTAAGGCAAACTCTGGTGCCAAATACAGCTTAACCATGTTTATTTATTATATTTATATGTCTTATTCGGTCATATAAGTGAGAAAAAATTAAACAGCGCAAGGGAAACAAGAAATGGGGAACAGGAGAGCATGAATTGTTGGGTTTTGTGCATAAAGCATTTCAACAGAGAACCTCATCAAAAAAAGATAACTTCCAGTGAAAGGATTTGGAGAAAGTCAGGAGAAAACATTTCAAAATAAATGAAGTACTTACTGCTAAAAAATAAGCTTAGATTTGCACAGACTCTGAAGCTCACAATTTACTGTATCACTCATGCTTTCCCCACTAAGTTTCTTATCTCTTGTCTCATAGCACAACAAGGGATTCTGCACACTCTCTATGAAATACAACAAGACTGTGATTTTTGCAGTAATAAACGCCACACATGCATGACAAATCCAAGCATGCAAAGTGTTTAACATCCCAGTTCACAGATACTTTGGGGACAAAAATCCGATTATGAATTATATGCCACAATAAATAGGGCTCAACGTTTCATAAAGCAATTTATAGTTCATAAAAATGACAAAATGTACCTGTCAGACAGAACGCGGAGAGCAGATCTCTGTGCGGCCTGCTGGAAGAAAGGGCAGAGATGTTTATTTTATATTCTGACTTTTAAATTATGTACTCAATCAACACTTAAGAAAAAAACGTGTTACACACATTTTTGTCATGTGGCCAAATTTCAGACTACCAAGTAGCAGACAGTGTTTCATGAAATGAACATTCCAGATGAATAAATGCGAGACTCCGTGATGTACCCCATCACACAAGAGAATTGTCACAAGGCAGACGTGGTATTTCAGGGAGTAAGAACTCTTATTTAGGTAATTTTCAGCAAGTCTAAGGATATCAAACAAGGACAAAAGTTCTCCTTTTACTCTGATCCCTTTCCCCACGTTCCAGTATTTTCACCTGTAAGAAGAGTGTCTACTTTGCCTTTTTTTTTTTTTTTAAAACACCTCCCTGTATCCCCCACCACCCACCAAGCAGTCAGAGTTATGGGAAGGGATCTCTCTTCCTTCATTAAACTCTGCCCAACTTTTCTGCATACCTCCTCTTCCTCTGAACAGTTTATATTCTTCTGCATTCAACTTCTTATGGTGGTTGGGATTAGGGTAGGGAGAAAATAACAGACTATCTCATCTATTCTATTGCTTCTAACTCTAGTGTAATTCTTAGGAGGTGGAAAGATGTTTGAAGGTCAAGATTGACTTTAGAAGAGTCCAAGATATAAAGAAAATGTGATGTGTTTTACTTGGCAGGTTTGTTGTGCTTTACTTGGTCAGTTACACAAACCACAGCTGGTAATACATAGGCTGGTAAACATAAATAATTGGGGAGCATCTAAAATATTCCTGTATGTTACTTCCTTGATACTGATAGAGTTGGCAAGCGTGGAATCTTCAGAATGCAAACATCTAAAGAGCATAATTGTCACTTAAAAAAATTTTTTTTTACAGACATGATAATATTTTCCATAGCCAATGCCCTCTGCCTGTTAGGACCCTTTTTCTTAGTCAAGTTAATCAAATCAATCCATGCAATATTTTTGAATACCCACTGGGTGCACCGTCTTTTACTAGGCAATGTGGGTACCAAAGAAATAGGGGAGATAGTCCTTGACCTTAGAGAGATTGGCATCTAGTTGGGAAGTCAGGAAAAGAAAAGACTTTTGAATATATTTACAAGGTACTATGTCAATAAGAAGAGATTAACATAATGCCCACTGGGTACATATCTGTGAAAGAATACAGGGGCAATAGAGGTAAACAGAGTTGGTTGGGATCCAAGAAGGAATGTATCCTGGAGGAACATAAGTGTTGAAAGATGTAGAGGTACTGAGAAGAGAGGCTGGAAAGGAATAATAGCGCATGCAAGAGCACAGAGCTGAGACGCCAGAGCCCTGGGCCTGGAGTGAGGAAGACCTGAATTCAAATGTGACCTCAGACACTCACTAGCTGTGTGACCCTGGGCAAGTTACTTAACCTCTGCCTTAATTCACCAGAGAAGGAAGTAGCAAACCACTCTTTGCCAAGAAAACCCCACGTAGAGTATGTCTTCCTTTGTATTGCCAAAGCTTAGCACAATGGCTGACACACAGGAGGGGCTTCATAAATGCTTGTTGTTTGACAGGCACATATGGGTTATGATCTGCATCACTGGAGAAAGTACCCACATTGAAGAGATCACAGATTTACTGAAATATTGAAACACATTTTTCTCACTCTTCATTTTAAAATCAGGCCTTTCCCTCTTTGTTATTCTCATCTTTTTTTTTTGTAAGAAAGTATGCTATAGTATTTTCACTGAAGACAGCAAGTGTTCAACATATAAACATTACATATTCCAGATTCCCCATCTAAAGGGATTTATGGAACCCAACAGGTTTTGGGAGCCAAACTTGAAAAAAAGCTTGGCTCGCTATCATTGGGAAGTCCTTGATGAAGACATGCAAAGGGCTCTGAGCTCCCCAAAAGAAAAGTGAGCGTCTTATTATCATGATCTTGTAACTCTACCTGACCTCTAAGAATTAGTACATCCTGTTTTACCTAACATTGAGAATGAAAGCTGTGACCAAAAGTCGAATAGTGATTTCTAGCATTGATTTCTGGCTTTCCCTGAGAAACTGTGTTTTTAGGTTCATATCAGTGCTATTAGTGCATTTTAAAAGCAAACAAGCAAAACAACAACTAGCTAAGTTCCCAAGATACCATCTTTCTCCTATATTCATTGACCCTTAACACAGGGTTAAAAAATGGTAAAGGATCACTTAAGAAGCATTTATCATAAGCCATTCATAGAGTATCAAACTGACTTCTAAAAGGATTTTGGAATTAGACTGGATTAATAGAGCTGGAAGGGACCTAAGAGTTTGTCTAATTCAACTCCCCTACTCCTACCCCTGCCCCATGTTAGAGCTAAGGAAACTGGGGTTACGTGACTTGCCTAAAAAATAATTAGTAGCAGAGCAAGAAATGGAACCCAGGTCTCTTGGTTCCCAGTTCAGTGTTGAGTTTATTCTTCTAGGCTAGTTTTTGATCTGCTTTTTATAGCAGATAGCTTTAGTGAAAGTCACTGTAGTCTTATGAGAATCAGAAGAAATTTCTACAATCAGAGATTAGTGTGGATGGGGTCTTTCATACAAACATTTCCAAGGTCTCCCACTGTGTAAATTAAAAAACCCAAAAGGCCAATCATCAGGGTTTAATGCAACACCTTCCATCTCTCTTCAAAGAAAGAAAATATATTTTCATGTTTTTAAACTATTTAAAATACTTAAAAATATTTTCATTATGGTTAATTTTTAGATTTTAATTTCTGCTGCTCACCTCTTTCCCCCTTTATATCCTCCCCCCAAAAAAGAGTGTGGTGATGTTTAGATAGTGGTTTGGGAAAGCTCTCTTTCAGTTTAGTAATGGGGACAAAATGGTACCATTCACAAAATGGTATTGTCTTCCTACGACAGAGACGTTTATGTAAAAACTTAAGCAACAGGGTGGTACTTAGTACCATCTATTGCTTGCTCCACTATTTTTAATAGTCTGATTTTGATTGTGCTATTTAATTTGCATTTTATTTCACATCATTAAAAGCTTTACTGAGGACAACTCAGCATCCATCAAGGAAAGAGGTGAGAATATGTTAAATGTTCTATATAATTTCTTGAAATAAGGGACTGTGCTAGGTGTGTGATTTTTTAATAAGGATTATAGCTTTAGATTAAAATTTGAGACCACAAACCATGCCCAAAGACCTGTAGAATTTATGACTGGTAAAAAAAATATCTCCTTTGGTTTCTGTACATTATTTCATTTTACTGTTGGAAAGTAATGAAATAAATAAACATTGGATTTAAACTTTACTACAGGGTATGAAATAGCAAAGAAAAAATTACTTAGGTGACTCATGAAGTGAAGCTTGAAAAACTACTCACAATAAATTAGATGAATAGCCCAATTTCACTTGCTCAAGAGCCATAGATTACAGGGAACCAATTTTCTCTCTTCCCAGATCTCCCCCCTTTCATCTCCACACCCTATCCAAACTTCTCCATTACTTTACCCTAAGCAAAATGGGTTATGGATACATTTAAAAGAATACTTCACTGATCTGCCCTGAGTTCATTAATCATTCATAGAGTTGTACCCCAAGTGGATGCGAGCCAAACCAGGTTCTCTGCCAACAGTAATCCTTTTCAGGTTCTCATTCTCGAGAAATTACATCTCCTCTTTCCTTTCTTCATTGCAATGCGTCTAGTGCCTGGGAACCTAATCGGCAGAGATTCAGGTTTCACTGTGTACTAAATGAGCTACCAAAATTACTTGAAGTATCACAACCTGCGATGTGTTGTTGAAGGGAAGTCAATGAGGAAATTAAAGGCTTTTGTTGTAATTGAGACAGGACAAAACGGAGAGCAAGTTCATGGATTCTGGAGCGCAAGGACAGAATGAGGTGGGGGTCCTGAAGCTCAGAGAGGTCCAAGGAATCTCCAAGCGCTTATTCGGTAATTACAGAGAAGACCTCTAGTGGTTCAGCTTGTTAGGTGGCTAGTTGATGATGACAAATCACCGGGAGAGCTTTCAGAGTGCTCTTAGTCAATACGATAACCAGAATACTGGACTTGGAGTCAGAAAGATCTGTGTTTAAATTCCACCTCAGATGTTTTCTAGCTGGTTGACCCTGGGCATATAATTTTCTCTTGGTGGAGAAAATGTCAGCTATGCAGATTAAACTTAAACGTGTGCAGGGCTCCCCCCTCCCCCACCCCAAGGCTGGTTGTTAAATATTTACCAGCACATTCCTGTATACACACACACACACAAACACTACACATATATGTATATACACGCTCATGCTGACTTCACACTTTAAGGACCTATGATCTCATCCAAGGAGGTATTCCCTCCAAAAGGAAAAAATCACAACTCATCCATCCTCATCCTGTGCACTTCTCATAAATTACACAAGGAGTCTAATTACATAAAAGGTCTTCCTCTAGATTTCCTGACATTGCTTACATACCAGTGGAGCACAGCTCTGCCTTACTCCTCATACGTGACTAACCTACTTCCTTTTCCAGACATCTCTCTCTGTCTCTCAATTTTTCATTGCTAATACAAATTACAACTAACAAACAGGCAGGTTTTTGCAGACAGTATTTACAGTGGACCACATAATTATAGTCACACAATTTCCTGGAAGATACAGGAATAAAGTATTCCACTGTATTTTTTGTGTATTGTTGTTGATGATTGTTGACTCTAAAAAGCATCAGATTTGGTAGAGCAAATGCTGCTTTAGAGGTTCTCCTCCACACACATGCGCACACACACATACATGTACATATGTGTATGTGTACATATAACATACACACATATATACATATCTCCCACATATATAAAATCATGAAAGAGTGCTTTAAAGATGTAAAAAATGAGAAAACTTTGTTCAATGGCTGTCAGATCATCAAGCAAGGAATAAAACATGGAGACATATTGGTACAGGCCATCGTCATGGAGAATGTCCACCACAAAAGCCAAATAACAGAGGGAACCCCCCTCCTCAAACACA